AAGTTCTGGGCCACATGCTGGTCTGCGAGCTTTTCACTCACAAATTCACTTCCTCTATTCGTCTTCTCACTGTTCGTTCACTAACATTGACACCTCTTGTAAACTGGAGTCGCCGGCGTATTTCAACAGAGGTGAGGTAGCGGTTTCTTAAAATTTCTAGGACAATAAAGCGATCATCCCTGGCTGATGTGCATCTGACACCTCCGCTGCCTGGTCTGTGGGAGTAGCGGCCTGTTTCCTGGTATCGTTTCAGCGCATACTCCTAAAATTTACTTGTAACATTATTTTTAATAGTATTCTTACAACTAGCTATCTCTTTTTCTAAACACAACATACAGTATTCTGTGGATGGTTTTCTATTCTGACTTTCAACGGACCCGGGGTCTTCTGTGGTGGTGGGTGGCTCGTCGTCCTCTTCATCTTCCGAGTCGGCGTGACGGGTCCTTGTCTTTGTCGAGGAGTAGATGGGATATCCCAGCTTGGTGAGTTTGACCTTCACCTCTTCTGACAGGTCACCCAACTCCGCAGACGCCATCTTCTTGATGTACTTATCAATCATTAGGGTGTGTGATGAGTGATGATGATAGTTTGACATCTGGAAGTTGTCGCCAACAAGTTTGTTAGTCTTGGCGTAGCTAATGGCAGCGTAGTATAGATCCGGATAGTGGACCTGATTTAACCCTGCCTGTCTTCCCGAACCTCCTGTTGCCGTAGCGCACACACATGCACCGTGACTAGTGAGTTATCTCTCTTGCTCTAACGTAGACGCCATAACGCCGAAACAAAATTTGATACAAATTTACTTGCTATTTTAAAACGAATGATATTTCTGCCAGTATTAGTATTAATAAATGTTTATTGGTGTATTGACAATAAATTAAAATTAAACTCACTTAAATCAAACCAGTACTTTTTTATTTATTGGTGGTTTTGTAGTTCGATCGAGATTTTTTCACCAAAACCGAAAATGTTGAATAGGTATCTCAGAAAGTAGCCACTTTTGGTCTGACATTTGGAATATTAGAATATGTCACACTGCCCGCTTTAAAAACCAATAGCTCGCTCTTTGCCACATTATACCTTAGAACCTAACGGGTAACCGGGGCTCCGGCTCGACGTGCACGAGAAGGAACGGGGTGGTTTTTAGTCAGTAAGAGTCTGACACTCCCTTCCGCCTCACCCAGGCGGGAGCAGTCATTCGATGATTTTCTTCCTTAAAAAAAAGCCCATGAGTCAACGCATACGCCTCACATATAGAAAGTAGTCGCCTGAGCGCACCAATCGATGGGCTCAGCAGCACCATATCGTCTGCATAGCTGATATTATTCACACACACTCCATCTATATGACACCCGATGCCGGTGTTGCTGAGCTCATCGATCAATCGGTCGACGTACAGGTTGAAGAGCGTGGGAGAGGTCAACCCCCCCTGCCTCACCCCGCACCTCAACCGATACACGTCAGAATGTGAGCCAACACACTTTACACTATTGTTTTGATTATTATACCAGTATTGGAATATTGAGACTATCTCAGGTGTTAAAGTAGTATTACTTTGTAGTTTACTCCACAGAACATCGTAACAAACCAGATCAAATGCCCTTGACAAATCCAGAAAACAGGCAAAAATAAGTGTTTTCCTGTCTGTGTAGTATTGAACAGTCTGCTGGGAGATAATCGCATCGGCTCTTTCAAAGCCTGGCTCTTTCATACACACTCTCCCCTACATTACATTCTCGATCTGGATGTCGTAGGTTCAGGAAAAAACACAATATTATATTAAAAAGATAATTTAGTTGCTCATAAACAAAGCATATTTACTAACCGTGGCAGTGATGCACTAATTAGGTAGGGCTGTCGTTGAGGATGCGAAATGAACCGAAACGAATTGACTTATAATACGTTTAATTAAGTAATTGATGTTACAATTAAATATTTCTAATACGCGACAATCTGTTCGATGTCAGAACAAAAAGTGATCTCTAAAGTCTAAATTATAATTGAATTAAAACGAACGATATAACGCAATCACTGAATCACAGGTTGGTCCCCACGGTATGATATTTCCCGGTAGCGCTCGACGTTCGGGAGGTCTTGCGAAACAAAGCATCGAAGGTGGCAGCTTCAAGGAACGGATCGCGGTGAATCATACATGGTGTGATTATTTCTTAACACACTATTATGTGTTTATCATTGACCTTTATATATAATTGTCTTTGTTAAATGTGTGCGTTTTTTTCGTTAGATACAGTCAAATTTTTAGTTATATAGAGGTAATGTATCCTAAGTTTAAATTATTTTTGTACTATGTACTTTATAAGATTTCTGTGATCATCATAGAAAGATTGTTCTAATGAATAATCTTTTAACTAACAAAAAATTTTAGTCGGCAATATATTTGCTGAAACTTTATTATTCATCTCTAATATTTTTGTTTGGTTGACCGAAAGATTTCGAATCAATATGCACTTGATATTCTATTATAATGTTTTCGGAAAGTAGACAGACCTCGGTTAAGCCGCATGTTGGTTTGAATAGGCCTCCTCTATTTTTTATAGATATCAAAGATCTTTCAGGAATACTCTCCGCATTGTAAAGATTTTTTTTAATTTCGTTCCTATAAAGCCGGCTATGCATACTATGACATTTTTAGAATATTCCGTAAGAGATAATGGGTACCAAATGTAGTCGTGTTCTGTCAAATCATCAAAAGTATCACGTGATTCGGGTTCGAAACGACGCACGTCTATACTATAAAGAACTTCAAAGCCTAACTAAAATATCGACATGTAACCTGACCACATCATTAGCTGAAAAACTAACCAACTAACTAAAATTGATTTAGAATTTTTAGAAAAAGATGGACTAAATAGATACTATTTAGGCTTTCAATTGAAACTTACGAATGAAAATGAGGTTTTTCACCACTGTTTTCTTTTCTTCCCGAATGTGAATGGCAGCCATCAATCACACAAGACATATTTTTATGATGTGAAACACATCATAAAGAACGACAATACACTTTCTTTCTTACTTACTTCGCGCAGGCTTATAGTACCACGAATAGAGGCTAAGGTAATGTCTTCTAGTCTCAAGACAAAATTTATTAAATTCAACCAAGTTTATTTCGAACCCAGAAGACAATGTCCTCAAAATAACATCAAACTGTGTGATAGTAGTAACATCTAACCCTGTGATTTGAGCGCTCATCTCAGCATTCTTAAAAAAGCGACGGGCTGTGTTTCCATCATTAGAAGAACCAAATCCTGGCTTTGGTTTATCCACAATGAGTCCCATCTCGTTCTTGAAATTTAACTTGATTTCTTGACCTTGATATCAGTTTTGTCTTCGTCGCTTCTAGCCTGCCATTTCTTAATATTCAACTTGTAGCTGATATGTAAAAGGCATTCAAAGCAACGAATCCAAGCATGAAGTGTAGATAAACCAAAGCCAAAATGTTCCTGATTGCTATTAAACTTCGCGGGATCATCGTTCATCGTCTTGGGGGTGGCACCACAGATAAAACACTTTTGAGATGAACGAGTTTCCGTTAAGGCGTTACATACCTTTCCGTCTGTGATTGTCAGAAGAAGTTCGTGTTTCACAGAGATTTGAGTATCACCAAAGTTGATAAGTGTTGGAAGAAGAGCATTAATTTCATCCAACAATCTATTTGTCTCGGCTAACGTGAAGTCGTTCGTTTCCTTAGCAAATATAAATTTGACTCATCATATAACTTAAGGGGAACAAAAGAAAATTCGAAAAGAAATTCGTTCGTATCTTCAGTGTTCTCAAATTATTTCTGTTTGTATGTGCTGTGCCCAGAACTGCCATCACATTCCCATTTATTAACAAGTGTAAACTTTGAACTTATTGGGAGGATACTGGTGATAACTTCATTCTGTGCTAATACTAGACGTTCCGCTGTTTTATGTAATAAGGCTTGCAAATTTATTTCACCACGAGTTTCTGTTATAGCAATGTGCTCCTCTGCAGGGTAACAGGCCTGTTTGGATTTTACTACACTAAAATATGACGGAAACACATTATGTCCTGCTATTATGGACCACTTCCTAGTTTGTTTGTAAGCATGTGTTGTTGACTTAGAATCTATATAGTATGCTAAGGCTTCGTCACTACTTAACCCTTTATAAGGCAGAGAAAACTAAAAATGATGGCATTGTAAATCAAATAGATAGTGATTGGTATTACTATGAGGATGACCCTAACGTTTTAAATTTTCATGAAAATTTATGGAAAACAAGGTGGCAATAAAGTTGCCACCATCTGTCAATGAAACAATATTTTTTGTACTTACTTTATTAAAAAAAGAAAAAAATACATAGAAATATAAATGCAAATTCATCTGTTGTTTCCTGTTTTGATTATTATCAAACGCATATTATATTTAGACTTGCTGACTGTGAAATAAATCAAAACAGGGAACTCCACAAAGTGGCACTTTACATGCAGAACACTGAATCTTTGATCTTTTATTGCGAGTTTTTGTGCTACACATACGACAACGTCGCCAGGAGTTCAGTTGCTCATGCTGATGAATACCTACGTTACTCAAACGTATCTCATCAACCACTCCTACTTCGAGTTTTGGCCGTTTAGCGGAGTATTGTGGCTGTTTGTCCAGACTTCTTTTCCTCGATGAATAATTGCTAATGAGACCACGAGCCAAACACAACCGAAAGTGTAATTGTGAAAGTGGGTTGTGTACTCTTGTGTTGCTAGAGTAAAGTAAATAAGAGTTTGTGATGGCTAAATCTACGCAAAAATAAAAAATACGAAGCCACCACCTCTTGCTTCGTCTGCCAACTTCGTAGGTGGTCCGCTTGTGGTCAAATCTATCTACACCACCCATGCGCTCTGTGTATTGGAGTACGGTTGATGGACACTGAAAAGCCCGTTTCACACCATCTTTCTGTGTTCGATCGCAAAAAGTCTTATTCACTTTTGGGTGAAACGCAGTGGTCAAAAGCGTAACGAGTTTAGTGTCCAGCCACATTACAAACGCCACATTGTTTTTGGTGCGCCATCGGAATTCGCCTCTTGCTAAGTTTACTTTTTGGCTCCTTGGTATATTCTTGTTTTTGGCTTTTGGCATGTTTCACAATGAGAGGTAGGTCTGCTCTGTTACTGTTGACTGTTGCTGTGGCGTATATACCATTATTGTATAAATATTGCAGTATTTCATACGATGCGAAAAAATTATCGAAGGTGACATGTCCACGGTATCCTTCATCTACCAGCTTCTGCGTAAGGCATTTCACAACATTGGCTCCTAACCCAAATTCTGTAGACTGATCATCCCGTTTTCCCGTATAAATCTGAAATTCAATCACATAGCCTGTCTCGCTGTCAGCTTTAGTCCACACTTTGTAGCCTCTTTTTATTGGTTTTAGTGGCATATATTGTTTGAGCGATGAGATACCTTTGAACTGGTTCATCGACTCGTCTATTGATTGAGATGTTGTAGTTTTAGCGCAACGTTGACAGGCCGTGTTGAGCAGCTCGAGAAGTGGACGAACTTTATATAGTTTGTCGAACTGAGGGGTTCCTCTCGCAGGCATCTGTGAGTTGTCATTCAAATGAAGGTTTTCCAAAACCTTGAACCTTTTGCATGTCATTACAGAAGCTATTTCAGCAACACGAAAAAATGGGTCACTTGACCAATAGTCGGTAGCGGATGGAGTCCCATCAAAATTATTATTCCTAGGAAAGCTTTTATTTCAGGGGTGTCAACTGGCGACCAACCAAGGCTGCGATTCTGTTCTGCGTAAATATTAGTTTGTTCTACAAGGAGATTAATTACATCGGTATAAAAAAAATGTGAGAAATACGTAAGAGCTCGTTCCCACTTGTCGGGTGTCGGATCCGTATATTAATCGGATGTCGTCGCTTTTGTTCACACACACGATTAATAATCGGTCGTCGGACACGGTCGAACCTAGTGTCAATTTTAAGTATTCTGCGCGAAGCGATTGTGCACGATGGACGTCGACGAATTCCTTGTTGTGATGTATTATTATTTAAGAAGAAAACCACGAGAGAGAGTCAAGGAAAGAAAATATTGGGTGCACCCAATCCTGAGAGAAAGATTTAGTTTGGGAACATTTCAGAATTTAATAACAGAATTGAGGAGTGACGAAATTAAGTTTTTCAAATATTTTAGAATGTCGATAACTACATTCAACCATCTATTGGCTCAAATATCAGTGAGCATAAACTACCAAAATACAAGATTTAGAGACTGCATTTGTACTGAAGAAAGGTTGGCGATATTTCTAAGGTAATATAATTATACATATTAATTTGTATAAAAGAAAAGATAAAACAGTCACTTTTAGTTCACATATATTTATTGAAAGAAAAAACTTTATTTTTTTTTATAATTTCGAAAACAAATTAGTGAAGTTAAAGATTGCTAAAATCTAAGTCCGAATCTTGAGTAATACTTGAATGTTGTGACAAAGTAGGTGATGCTGGTTCAACGAGTTGGCGTGTCGAATATCCATATCCAATTGAAGGTAAGATATTGTGGTTTAATGGTGGGTGCACATTCTGGTTTTGTGACGAATATACAGATTGTTGCTCGTGACCTCTTGACTGTGAATGCCAACCATAATTTGATGAGTATAAACGACTTTCACGCTGCTTTTTGATGTTTTGAATCAGTGACAGCACGCCTGATTGAAACTCTAAAGTTTCACTATCGTCAAAAGACGTAACACTCGGCAGAATTCCTTTGAAAAAAGAGAGCATTGGATGTTCGTTACTTCTGTCTGGCTGTAGCCTGCTATCTAAAAACTGGCTCATTTTATCATCAAGGGTCTTGGGCTTTTTGGAAGTACTTGGTAATGGCAGCTCTGAATACATATCTGTTGTATTGGCCGCTGATGGCTCTGGAGATGTATCTGGTGGACGCTTCTTGACAGAATCATGAGTGCGATTAGGCTCAGCCACTTTTTGCAAAAAACTCATCTGTTCTTTATATATATGGCTTTGAAAACTTAGCCCCTGCTCCGGATTTTTTGACTTCATTTTTATTTGCTCGCATCCAGGCATCTCGTAGATTCGACCACTTTGTAGATACTAGTTTACCTGCAAATACAATAAGTACATATAGAAAAGTTATCTTACCTAATTCATTATTTTACAGATATTGCGCATCGGGTTGTTCCTTCAAAGAATTGCACTATAGTTACAGAGTTGGTGTGTCAACTATCAGTAAAATCTGCAAAGAAATTAGTTCCACTATCTGGGATGTATTAAGAGACGAGTTCATGAAAATTCCTGATAATGAGAGTACAACTCCTTTGATGCCTTTAATTCGCTCAAAGCCAGGTTGACTCCTCTTGGCGAGCATGGGCTTTCCGAGTGAGAATCATTGCAGAAGTTAAGAGGAAGAAACAGTAAAAAAGAAATTTTTATAATATGAATATGAAAATGAAAAGTAATTTAGTCAAGGAAACTGCTAAATAAGTTAAGTAAAAAGACAAAGGAGTTGTATCATCAACCTCAAAGAGGTTATGTTTATTAATATTTTGAACTTTATTGGTCTAATAACTGAATTTTAGTAACTGACAACGTAGTAAACACGAATATGATCACGCACATCCTTAACGCTGATAACCGTAAATTTTTCAACTTCACCAATTTTACAACAATTAAAAAAACTATAGTTTCCACTATACAATTAATATTTCTTCAGTGTTAAGACAGATTTTAGGGCAGAATATAATAAAAAACAATTATTATTTTACAAAATAACAAGGATAACAACAAAGCAGCTGTTTACCCTAGTGTTGCCACAGCAAGAAAAAAAAAAGTACCTTTGGTTATCCTTGTTAAAAAAATTTTGTCCATGTTTTGGTCGGAGAAGTTGCAATGCTCTGGGATTTGTATACTGTTTGTGTGCACTTGCTTATGAAGTATTTACTTTTTATGAAAACTTTCACTCAAATCTACCGTCGTAGATAGGTTTGCATCTATCTTCTATATATATCTTCTTCACTAGCAGGTTCAGTAAAGGAACTGTAGTCAACCAATTTCGAACATGACATGACAGATGACGGAGGTTGCTGTGACTGTTGAGGGGGAGTTTGAAGCAGAGCATGCAATCTTTCTGAATCAGGGCTACAAGCAGTCACGTCATAATGCTGAGATAATAATGATGGCAATATGCGAGAACTCTCTTCACAATCTGTTTCAGAGTCATAATTATGAATAACAGCTGACTCTAGAATCTGCCGAAGCAACTAAGTGAAAAGCAGTTTCATGCAGGGCTTTCTTCTATACTCAGCTACATAGCTGAGTATAGAGTATAGAAGTATAGAAGGGGCAAAGGCCTCCTCAGGAATTACATTTGAATTGTAGAGATGAAGTCTAGTAGCTCTAAAGCTGTTCTTTATATTATCTTGAGTTACGCATTAAGACCATACCTTAGAAAAAAAATAGTTAAACCTTGCCTTTGTGAGTTTGCGCTCAGGGTGACGATAGGCATACAACAATATTTGTACATGTTCGTATGATTTGTTCACTGATTTGTCTAAGGGTTATAGTTCGTGAGTAGTATTTGATGGTGAACAATACAGCACTATTTTTTCTCATCTGCGACGGCCGCAATAAAATTCTGGCATCTAAATGCGAAGCAGCCCCATTGAAAACTAGCAATCATTTTCCTGGTGACTTTTAGTTGCCAAGATGCAGTATAAAATCAATAAACAATTCAGTAGTCATGCTACTTATAGGTGTTATTAAATGATTCGAAATACGCAATTTTCACAAGCTTTGGTATATTGTAAATAGTCATCGCTTTGCCTGGGTTCATTGTATGCCAATGTTCAATGAAAGCAATTTTTAACGATTCGTGCGGTGGTGTGCGGAAAGTGATATGTGTGCGGTGGAAAGGATAGGTAAATTATACCATTTTCTTTGGCCTAGTTGATAGCTTCGAGAGAAACATGGCTTTTATGATTGTCACACAACAATAATATGGGGTTATCCTTTGTACAGTGTATGCGTCTGAATATGTTTCAAAACAGAGACGAATATATCGCTATTTAACCAGCCACTTTTATTTGCAGCGCCGAGACTCTTCGGGTGCTCCTTCGAGGAAATTATCTTTATATTGAACGCGTGGGAACACAAAAAGTGGAGGAATGGTATTTCCACTGGCAAATATAATTCCACCAAAAGTTACGAGCTTGTCTCTTTCAGCTGATACAATTTGCCCGACTTGTTTTTGACATCTTGGAGCTAAGACTTTGAAAAAAAGAAAGAAAAATAAATATTTGTCGCTAAAAACCAGTGACACGTAAATCATTCTAGATATTAACAGGAACATTTTCATGTCCCAAGTCTGCTGTGAAATGGGACCAATTCAGCATGTACAAGACAGGGCCTTACGCTGGTACTCTACTGGCCCCTTAAGTGACTCGCGGACGATCAAGCCACAAATAGACAATATCAGTATTTAACATAATAATTTTACAAAATAAATGAAAAGATAAAAATCACAACCGGATAGTTATTTGGAGATCTGGTTGTTATTAGTAAAACAACTTGTTGTCGTAGAACGAATGTTTTTATTAGCCGGAGATGGTTCCTTTTGTACAAAAATTGGTACGTGTGCTACTTACAACTAATAATGTACATTAACCAATAAAAACTATTAAATTAAAAATAAATAATATTTAGAAATTTATACACCAATAACATAGCCTAAATTATAGCCAATAGCTATTTGGAATTGAACTTTATTTACAATGTGATCAATGGATAGAAAAGGATAGCCAATAAACAGCGAGATAACCAATGAGTGAGAGGTCTGTGCAAAGAGGACGCGCCTCCGCAGCGCCGTGCGTTGAGTTTTCGCGCCACTATAAATATTACGTAACGCGTGCCTCTGTCTTTTCCTCCTGCGACCCTCGAACCGTGAAGATGTTAACGCCGTGCACCGTGCCGCGCTGCGATACCTACGCGCGTTGGTCGGCGCGTGATACTGGCAGCGGCGTCGGCGAGTTACTTCGTCTCTTGTAAGCAGAGGGACAAAAACGTTGAACAAAATAGCTCTTTTCAGAGCTGTCTGCGTTAACAGAGCATGTCAAAAACGTTGAATAAAATATCTCTTTTCAGAGCTGTCTGCTTCTTGGTTTCTATTAAACGATGGTCCAAATCCTTGTAGCTTGTGCTATGGCTAATGTGGCTACAGTTACATATTACAGTAAATAATTTTCCCTTGTGCGGGTCTTGTAAGCTTTCCGGTTGGACATTCTGACGTAGTGGCATTTTTGGTTCTTGTTGTCGAACTGCATTTTGCACTACTTGCAACACCGATGGCATGTGGCTTGGATGTTATAACCCTTTAAAGCTAAAAAAAAATATTGCATTTATTTATTATTATTTATTCATTTATTATTTATTTAGATCTTACAAGTGCTCAAAAAAATAAAAATCTGGTTTACATATACAGTGTGTTAATTTAAACGAGGGACATATTCAAACCCTTAATAGTGTATACTTATATGATACTAATAAAGACATGAGCAAAAAAAACACTGATAATTTATCAGTGTTTTGGTAATCTGATAATTTATCAGTGGCATCACTGATAAATAACAGACAG